AAAAAAATAAAATTCGGAACAATCTCGAATTTCATCTTTTCCAAATTCCACCCTCGAAATTTTTCAGCCACATATTAAACTCAATTGCTCTTGAAACAGATCTAGCCCCCGAAATGCCACCAAAGGCCACAACGTCTTCCGCTTCATCGACAACCAGGGTGCAGTCTAGCTCGCCAGCACAGCAATTTGTGGCACTCCTCAAGACACAACAGTTTTACTGGTACTTGGGCCATGTGTTTGCTATCATCTTCTTTGCATTGAGCTCATTGTCGGGAATACTTTTCAGACAGGCAGCTTCGTTAAGGTACTATCGTTTTACATTGTTGTCCATCATTGTCACTTACTTGATTGTGTTGAAACAGGTATACCTCAAACGTTCTGGTCAAAAAGCCACCACCGCCAGATTAATTGGAGATGAAAATGTGCAATACTTGAGCTTGGCGGTTGTGTTTTACCTTGCAAGCTTCATCCTCGACAACCAAGTACAGACTGTGTTGTATTCGTATATCATATTTGCAGTTTTCCATGCACTCACCTACTTCCAGAACAACTTGTTGACAGTGCTTATTCCATCTGTTGCCACTCAGCAGAGAGTCAACTCAGCCATCAACAACTTCACCACACAGTATAACCAGCCAGCATTGTCAGCTGCGTCGAGTGTGGAGATTGTGTTGGCGGTTATGTCGGCATTTGACGTGTTGATCAGCACATTCTGGGTGTTGTTGAAGTGGAACATTGTGCAGTATGCCACCAAGGTGGTTCTTTTAGCCGCAGTTGTTGTGTTTATCAAGTTGAGGTATGAAGGCAACCAATTCACCAAAGCTGCAGTGGGTCAATTGGACCAGACAGCGAATGGATATGTGAACCAGTTGAACAGTCCGCAATTGACACAGAAATACTTTGGATACAGAGAGAAGTTGATTCGTTCGTTGGCACTGATCCAGAGACCTAAAGTGGAGAAGAAGACTCAATGAGATGACCGTTGGTAAAATCCTTCCGGTGCAACAGTGTGTAAATCTAGCATATGTAAGGTACTGACTCTACATATTACGACTCTGGTTTCCGAATGAGGTAGAATATTTCCAAATTTCTGTATAAGTTAAGGCACAATACTGTAAATACCTAGTTCTGCTCCTTGCAACTTCGCAAAAACAACAACAACAACAAAAAAAAACATAGACAAACTCATCTCTCTTAGCTTCAACCACCCAAATACTTTATGTCAAAGAAAATCAAATTGGACAAAATGGTTAAGATCTGTACGCATTCAGGCTCCTTTCACGCCGATGAATCTTTGGCCGTTTACATGCTCAAACTCTTACCTCGTTTCCAGGATGCCGAACTCGTGAGATCGAGAAACCCAGAGGACTGGGAATCCAGTGATATTGTCGTTGATGTTGGTGGGAAATACGATGGTTCCAAGTTTTTTGACCATCACCAACGTGAATTCGACACTACGTTTAATGAAAAATACCAAACGAAATTGTCGTCGGCCGGTTTAGTTTACAAGCATTTTGGTAAAGACATCATCAAAGAAGTGTTGGGATTGTCTTCAGATGATAAGAATGTAGAATTGTTGTATGACAAAGTGTACAAGGAGTTTATTGAAAGTTTGGATGCAAACGATAACGGGGTTAACAACTATGCCAAAGATGTGGAGCCAAAATTCAACGACAGAAATATCACTTTGCCATCAATTGTTTCGAAGTTGAATCCTAGATGGAATGAAAGTTGTACAGATGCTGATTATGATCGTCAATTCAATGTATCGAGCGAGCTCATGGGGAAAGTGTTTGTCAACTTGTTAGAGGGGTACGGGAAAGGCTGGCTTCCCGCCAAATCTATAGTTGAAGAGGCATTCAACAAACGATACGATGTTGATCCTAGTGGAGAAATTCTCGTGTTGTCGCAATTCTGTCCTTGGAAGGAACACTTGTATGCCATTGAAAAGGACAACAATGCAGAAGGTGTGACTAAGTTTGTTTTATTCAAGGACTCTAGTGGCAAATGGAGAGTCTCGACAGTGAGCGTTACTTCTTCGTCGTTTGAGTTCAGATTGGGTTTACCTGAACCTTTGAGAGGATTGAGAGACAAAGAATTAAGTGAAAAGGCTGGTGTTGAAGGTTGTATTTTTGTTCACGCTGCTGGCTTTATTGGAGGTGCAACGACTGAAGACGGGGTTTTGAAATTGGCCAGGATGTCGTTAAAGAAGGAGTAACGTTTGAAGTGTGCAATTTTGGCCTTGCCATAGAGCGTATTTGGTTCATTCCTCACATGTTTATATGCTTCATAGACCCAGCATACTCAAACGAGACGAGCACGTGGGAATACCCAGTGTTGCATTTCCAGCAACGTGCATAGGTATAGTCATGATCATCCAGTCACAAGTATTTATTTATAGACACAATGAAAAAGAAGTCCAATTCACGCGCAAATAGAGAGTGGTGTAAGATTCACAAATGGGCATTACGGAAAATCCTTTCACGAGGAAAATATTGTATAAAGTCTCACACATTGGCACGACAGAGAGCGCCTGAAACAAAGATGTGACATTTCGAAATGATGACAATGATAGAGGAAGATGGTATGGACAAGTTGCACCTTTGTAAAATACAGGAGACTGCCATGTCCGTGAATACATTCGATGTGAAACACATTGCCTGGAGGGATTTTTAGTTCTGATATCAAAGCCTCCATCTGTTTTTGGGTAACGGGTTCACCCGTGGCTTGAAAGCCAAGACGGCCAAAAATCGGTGGCGTTCCTTCGGAGCTCACCTGTTCCAAATCTTTCCTTTACCTTCCACACATAAATGAGCGCATTCATGTGCCAGAAGAAGAGCTATTAAAATTTTTTTTCTTGGAACGAAAAATATTTCCGTTTATGGTATAAAAGGCGCAACTGGAATATGAAATGCGCTTTGCAGGAAAAGGCAAAAGTATTATTTCTCGCACAGCCGAGGTCCACCCAACTAAATGTAGATGCATTCGTAGATTGTTTCGTAGAGTTACCACATCTGATTATAGACAATGGTTATCAAAACAACTCTATCATAAGCCATCTAGTTGAAAGGTTTCTCAGTCAAACTGTAAAGTAGGTGCTGGCTCTGAGAATTGTACGTGCAACACTGCTCAAAAACAATCGTCTGTGTTTTGTGTTTGGAATGGTTTGATATTTTTGCGCAGTCCTGGGTGGAAGGCGTAAAAATTTTACACAAACATTTGTTGTTGTTGTTGTTGTTGTTGTTGTTATTGTTATTGAGCAAAATAAATTTGTTGTTACAAGAAGGAGAAATCAAAAAAAAAAAAAAAAAAAATTATTTATTTATCTTCTTTAAATGCGCTTTTGGCTCAATATATATGTCAGCTTATAATCCCCTTCTTCATCAATCAATCACAGAGTGGTCTCATTTTTTACTTCAACACATATGACAAGTCATACCCTTATATAACACACAGTTCCCTACAAAGTAGAACAAATGATGAAGGAATCAAACGTTCTAGAAATCCCTTTACACCAAAGAGTGGGCTTGAAAGTGCGTAACTTGAGTGTTGCTGTTAAGTCAAAAGTTCGAAAGAAGGACCCCAGTCACACAGACGAAAAGTGTAATTTCAATGCAGGGTCTTCGAAAATTCTCAATGATATTTCATTTGATGTTAATAGCGGAGAGTTGATTGCTTTGATGGGAGGATCTGGAGCAGGTAAGACAACTTTATTGCATACACTATCGCAACGAACTAATGTTAAGAACAAAAAGTTGGAATACTCTGGAAGCATCGAGTACACAAGAGTGAATGAGTCCATGCAACATATCAAGCATGCATATTTACTACAGACTGACTTTTTTTTACCTGGGTTGACTGTGATGGAAACATTCCAAACGCAAGCAGATCTAAGGTTACCGCCGTATGTTAGCCAGGAGGAGAAGCAGGAGTTGATTGATTACATTATGGATGTTTTGGAGTTGACGCATTTGAAGAATACTAGACTTTGTCAATTCTCTCTGCATTCAACTACTCTATCAGGTGGAGAGCAAAGAAGAGTAAGTTTGGCAATTCAGCTACTATCCCGTCCATCAATACTATTTCTTGATGAGCCTACCACAGGATTAGATACTTCATCTTCATTGAAGTTAGTACAACTATTACACAAGCTTGCCTCCAACACATACGGAATAACTGTCATTCTATCGATTCATCAACCAAGACCTGAAATTTGCGATTTGTTTGACAAGGTGTGCTTGTTGACAAAAGGTGGCAGAATGGTATATTTCGGAAACTTGAAAGACGAAGCACATAGTTATTTCACAAAGTTGGGATACGCACCAGAGATGAACCAACACGTCAGTGACCATGTCATGAGCTTATCCGTAAAAGACACAAGTACTCTTGAGAACGAACTGAAATCAGCGGCACGGATCAATCATTTGGTGGAAGTTTGGAAAAACAGTTATTACCACGAATACAATAGCACAAAGAAGCAAGATCAAGCTCAATTTTTTGCCAACTTGAAATTGTTTGCAACTCCAAAACAAGATAAAATCTCCTTCATGCGAGAGCTTGTGGTCTTGACAAAGCGAACATTTAAACTAACCTACCGTGACGTCCAAACACTTTTGGTTTTAAACCTTGGGTTTGTTTTCCTTGCGGTGGCTCTTGGCTGGATATTTTACCGACCAAAGCACGATCTTGCTGGTATAAGGTCTCTAATTTCGGTGCAATATGTGGTTTTGGAAGTGGTAGGGTTCTGTGCCATGTTTATCGAGGTAGAGAGATTGTGGAATACTGACGGAGCTTACTTTTTCCGAGAATACCAAGAGCATGTTACAAGTATTCCAGCGTTTATTGTGTCGAGAAGAGTAGCCAAATTCTTATTGGAAGACTTACCCATGACAATTATCTGGTCAGTGATAACATTTTTCATGTGGGGACTTCGGGTGGGAAACGGGTCACATTTCGGAATATACTTTACAATCACTTTGCTTGTGCAATTGGCTTGCATGAGTAGTACGTTATTGATATATGCCATTTCATCAAGTGTCGCCATGTCCACAATGTATATAAACTTGCTATATCAGGTTCAGAATTCGGCGTCGGGTTATTTTGTTAATGCCAAGACTATGCCAGTTTATGTGAGATGGTTGAAATATCTAGCCTATTTTTGGTACGGATTTGGTGCATTGACTGCTAACCAATTTACCGACTGGGTTGGTGATTGTCCTTACGATGACGAAAGCAAATGTGGTGAGTATCATGGAAACGTCCAATTGGAAATTTGGGGATTTCCTCAAAACTGGATAGCAGAACCAATCGGTATATTGATTGTATGGGTGACTGGATTTACTGTTCTATCAGGGGTTGCGTTAAGACTAAAGAATCTTGACGTAGGTATGGCAAAGACCAAAAAGAACAAGCTTGGTGACGAAAATGAGACACATGTGGGCAATGACGAGACTGAGGACTCCATTGACGAAGTCTCTGATAGTTCGGTAGATTTTGATTCGAAACAAATAACTACCCAACCTGATGCAACTGCAAGCAGTTGCCCTATTGACCTCGAATTACGCAATGTGCATCTATCTATAAAAGAAAAGACGTTTTGGGGTAAACAAGTTGGTCTGAGAGTATTGTTGAACAATGTTAATGCCGTTTTCAAGGCAAACTCGGTAAATTGTATCATGGGACCTTCGGGAAGTGGCAAAAGTACTTGCTTAAATTATTTGTCAAACAGATTGGACAGGTCTGCATCGTTTATTGCAAGTGGGGAAGTCAAGATTAATGGAATTCAAGATGTTTCTCGCAGTGAGTTGAGTCGTATCTCTGCATATGTCACCCAGCATGATAGTTCATTGATATCTAACTTGACGGTTAGGGAGACATTGTATTACCAGGCAAAGTTACGTTTACCCTTGGACCAACACCCATCAATCCCAGGAATCATTAACAAGTTGATAAGACAGACTGGGTTGGTTGACTGTGCTGACACATTGGTGGGCAATGAGTACGTCAAGGGTTTGTCGGGTGGTGAAAAAAGAAGATTAAGTATATCCATTCAATTACTTTCGAAACCAAAAGTGTTGTTTTTGGACGAACCAACATCTGGATTAGATTCGTCCACAGCAAGGGCAATTTTCAACTTGTTGACTGAATTGGCAATTGAGAATCAAACAACTGTCATTCTTACAATCCATCAACCAAGTGAAGACATGTTTTTGAGCTTTGGAAGTTTATTGTTTTTAGGCAAAGGCGGGAATGTGATTTACAATGGAAGTGCGCATGGAATTGTTGAATACTTGGCCAATCTTGGGTTTGCAAATCATAGTCGGTTGAACATTGCCGATTATATTTTGGATTTGATCAGTCATGGTGCTGACGATGAAGATGCCCAAGCTGTGGATAATAGGATTGAAATGTTGGTCAATAACTGGGCATACAATGTGGATCATCATCACCAAATAGGTGCTTCACGAGGACTGAGTCGAGTAATTGACTTATCACAGTTTTATTTCCGGCGATTGCCATTTGTTCATACATTCTCCACTGTCACAAGTAGACAATTGTTGACATCATTTCGATCAAGGGATAGCATTATTAGCAGAATTGGTCAAACTGTTTTCCTCAGTATTGTGCATACATTGTTTTTCGCACCCCTCAAAAATACCCAGGATGGTATCAACAACCGATTAGGATTAATTCAAGAAGTGTTGAATTTGTACTTTGTTGGGTTTGTGAACAATATCAGTTTGTATCCCTTTGAGAGAGATTTATTTTACCAAGAGTATAGGGATGGTATTTATGGAGTGACAGAATTTGGAATCTCATACCTTCTCAACGAACTCCCCACAGAGATCATTCCATGTTTCTTCTTTTCGGCATTGATTGTGTTTGTTTGTGGGTTACCGCGCAATGCCGCTATGTACTTCGCCATGTTTGCCACGGGGTTCATTTCCATCAATTGTGGAGAATCTATTGGAATCTTTTTCAATAGCGTTTTCAAGCACATGGAGGTGGCAACGAATGTCTTGGCCAATCTAATTATCATTGCTGTGTTTATGGGTGGTACAATGTCGTTGCACATGCCACATTTTTTCAAAGCCATGAATTATTTGAGTCCCATGAAGTATGCTGTGTCAATTTGCGCAAATTTGGGATTCAAGAACCAGAGTTTCTCATGTGGATCTACGGGAGATTGTAATTTGAAAACGGGTCATGATGTGTTGCAGTACTACAATTTAGAAGCGAATATTGGTGCCATGTTTGGAGGGTTGTTTGCTTGTTTTGTTGTCTATAGATTGCTTGCCATTTGCTCGATTTATATCAGAGTCAAGTGGTTTTAGAGTGCAAGTTTCCGGAGATCCTGTGTTCTAGAAAATGTATAAAGTATTGTCGCTTCTCCATAGGCCTACTATGTACTGGTATTTCAAACTTCATAACCTCTCTCATCATCAGAATAGCTTGTCACACAAAATGGGAAATATAATTGCTCGGGGGTATAGCTCCGAAGTGACAATTGGAGGAAGATGTTGAGACTAACAACAGATCAGCAAAGAAATATGAAACCAGTCTACTGGATCCTCCACCTCCATCCCTGCCCTTCCCTTAGCTGTAATACTAAGCAAGAGTTGGAACTACACGTTAATCAATATTTCCACTAATTTTAACTTGCACAGGGATAGAACTCCGAAGCAAGAGAATAATTTTGTTGGAAGCAAATTTTTGTGCAACTGTTTAGTATTCGAGAGCAACCACAGCTATAACACCCTGTAGCCATGTCTGGATTTGACTCACTGGCTTGAAGAAGTACGTTATGACACGGCTACTTTAGAAACTCAATTGAGTAAGAAGATCTTATGGAGTTTGTATCCATACTATCCGTTTGCGCAAAGCTATCAATAAAAAAAAAAAAAAACACTTGAGTAAGGGCGAGTTACAAAACCTATTTTGTACAAAAAAAAAAAAGTACTGAAGTAGGCATATTTAGGATACACTTGAAACAAGAGCTGCAGTGTAGTTGAGCTTGTAAGAAATATCAAACAGTGTAGCAGTGTCTTCAGATGATTCTTAGCAGATACAGCTTGTAGCGGAGATGAAAAAAGAAAAAAAAAAAGCAATAAAAAGCCCAACAGAAAATGGCATGCAGCTAATTTGTTATCTCAATTTTATTTTTTTTTTTTCTTTTTTTAATCTATTGATTGATCCTTTTATTGTACGGGAGAGGGGGGGGGGAAGGAGCCACAGCAAATTCTTCACCATACTAAAATCTTCAACAATTATTTCAAATACAGATTCTTTTTTCAAGACATTTTCTTTTACACTCTACCCGTTTCAAATCTAGAATACGTCTATTGCTATTTGGCTCTGGTGACAAGTTGTTTCAAAGCACCACAATCAGGAAAATAGGATAAGGAGGATAAGGCATTCCAGATGTATCAATACATAATACAGGCACCCACCGATGCCACTTCGGTTCAGATCACCGGTACATTTGATAACTGGTCTAAAAGTCTTCCCGAGATCACTTCACCGCCTTTTGAACAAACAATCACCCTCGATGAGAAGCAGGATATCATTTTCAAATTTATAATCAATGGGAACTGGACAACCCTTGATTTGTACCCAGTGGTTACGGATGAGCATGGTAATACAAACAATATCGTGCATTCTGAACATCTAATCTTGGTTGAAGAAGAGAAGGAGGGTGGAGTGACTGGGGTTGAAGATTTCAAAACTGAGGAAGAAGGCTATAGAGCTGAACTGTCGGATGAACCGGTTGTCTTTGCTGTCGCTGACGGAGATCACACTTTTGATAATGTGGGAAAACTCGAGAATGACAAGGAAACAGTTGTTAAGGGTGCCCAAGTTGGCAATGGTTCAAGAAATGTTACTACTAAACCAGCCCAAGATAAGAAAAATGAGACAGAGCATGTTAATCCACACCAACTGAAGCAAGAGCCATTGGTTTCTCAAAGCGCTACAGGAGCCAACCCCACCTCTTCGTCTTCTTCATTTGCTGCAGTTTCAAGCCCACCAACATCATCAGATTTTGAACACATTGATCACTCACCAAGTGCTGAAGTTCCTGCAATAAACGAGTCCAAGGGCGAAACTGCTGCTGACACCAGTGCTAAGGAAAAAGATACAACCGTTAAGTCACTGACTACTACTACTGCAAACAAACGTACAGGCGTTGTGCCTGATAAAAAGCCCGAGAAACCAGCTTTGTTAGCCCACCCTTCCGAGTCTACTCTCAAGGCACCTGGGTCTTCAAGTGGTCAAACTCCAGTCGTTGCCTCAAGCTCGTCTTCGGTCACCACACCTAACCCAGAGGAGTTGTCATCGCCACAAGGCCCCAGAATCCCCGGCTCATTCGATGGTAGGCCCTCCCTTGATAAGAAAGGCAGTAGCGGTAAACGGGAAGGTCTTATTTCCAAGTTTAAGAGTTTGTTTAAGTAGAGAAGTGAGAGAGGTTACTTTGAACTAATATTGTGCAGAATTTAATATATTGGGAGAGTTTGTTTATCAAGGCATGTCTTACGGGTGTTGTGCAGGATGCAGTATTCCATAAGATACAGATGAATATACATGTAAAGAAGGAAAAGTGTAGTAAGTTGGTGTATAAGAGCTGATTATTTCACAATATGAGCTTCGGCTCAAAGTAAACCTCATCCTTATAGAACCAATAACCTTTCTTTTAAATGCCATGCCCAAAAAAAGTGACATTTCGCAATGACACTAATTCTTCTTCTTCTTTTTCTTATTCTTCTTCTTGGAACCACCAACAGCTGCCGAACTCTCTTCCACTGAAGGCGTATTTTCCTTTGTAGAAGTATTTGCAACACCGGAGTCTTTTGGAGCTTCTTCAACAACTGGATCCGGTATATATTTCGTGTTGGACATCAAGCTAGCCAACCCCAATCCATTACTATTAACACCTTGTGGACCCAATACATTCAATATACGACTGAGTTCCTTTTGTTTTGTGGTTTTGTATTTCAAGCATTTACCGCTATGTGGTTCAAACAACTTTATACTGACGGTGTGAGTAGGTGGTTTATGCTTTGTGGTGTTTGAGGCAATTTCGTCGATGGGATTGGATTTTGATCCTTTGGATGATAGTTTCTTGGTGGTATTGGAATATGTGATTGATAGTGTTGTGGATGGAAAATTCGCTACTAGATCCGTAGACAATTCAAAGAATTGATCTAGATCTTTGATGGTAGGCATTGTGGAGGAGTGCAGGTCGACGGAAATGGGCTTTTGGTCTCAATCGTTGTTGAAATTTTTTTTTTTTTTTTGGCTCGTGAACTTTCCACTTGAGGAGGTAATTGTACATACAGAATACAAACGAGGACTACATAAAAGCATCTCCTTATCTATATTTAACACCGGGACCTTTTTCTTGTCTGGCTTTCAACTTCTGTTGGCGCTTGCTTAATCCTGAGTTGTCTTTTTTTGTAGAAGAGCCAGCAGAGCTTTCATCAGCTGTCCCTTGTTGTGCTCCACCACCTGATTTCTTAAAGAATGGTAGAATGAATCCACTGATTTTGTAGATAGCAAACCCGGGTATCAAAGCATAGGCCCACCATACTTTGTTACTTCCAAATACAATCATCAACACATCCAAAATCCAAGTCAAATAGATAATATCAAAACAATATTCGAATAACGACCCCTTTTGCATAATATCGGCGCCAGATGAAATAATTTTTCCATCGGGGCCAAGCTTGGGCAAACCTGAAGATTCTAGAACATATTGGAGGATGAAACTTGGCGTTGATAGCAAAATGTAAGTGATTGATCTCGATGGACGATTAAAATAAAATACCGCAATGACTGCAAGAAGATTGATGGTTCCTGCAATGTATCGTAATTGAAGCAAGATTGACTTGTTTCTTGTGGCGAGCTTCTTCTGACTACCGGCGGACATCCTCAAATATAGACTGGGATTATGAAAGGTATCCTTGATATTGCAGACAGCGTGGTGATAAAGTGCGGAACCACAATGAAAAATTATTTCTGGTGACGAATATCTGATTTTCATGCAACAAGCCAAAATTTCCTACATTTGTGATGCAAGTGCAATTCGTATATTATTACAATACCTAGAAGTACATAGTTATTTCTCATGCAATGAAAATCACACTTGCTGTATTTTCAATCTTTCCTCTTCAACCCATATGTGCACTTCAACGCCGTGACCGCTTACTGAGTCTTCTTCTCCACTTTAGGTCTCTGGATCAGTGCCAACGAACGAATCAACT